CGTCCCACGCCACTCCACCCCACCCTGCTCCTCCCCACCCCGTTCCTGCCCACTCCGCTCCCCCTACTCGCCGCCATCTCACCCCGCTCCGCTCCACTCCACTCCACTCCAACTCACTCCGCTCCACCTCACACCACTCTATCCCACCCACGCCTCCCCACTCCGCCCTACTCTCCGCCGCATCCTATTCCTCTTTACCCTCTCCGACTCGCACCGACTAGGTCAGCCCTGCCGGTTCCGCACCTCTTCTCGCTCCGCTCCTCTCTTTCCCGTTCAGATCCGCCCCGCCTCGACTGGCCTTTCCCAGTACCGCCGCGGCCATGCCTCTATCCGGATTACTGTTCTGCAGTCTCTAAATAATTAAACGCATTACCCAACTGAACGACATTTTGTTAAAATGATACAAGTATAAACGAATAAAGCTCGACGAGCGAATAAAGCTTACTGAGGAATAATGTATCACGTATCCAACATATAGAATGTAATATATTAGGTCAATCTTTCTTTTGCACTACTGGGTAGGACAGACAATTGAATTTATTGAAGTGAAACATCAGTGCAATTTGTGTAACTCTAATCTACAAATCCACGTTTATTATTATTAAGTACCAAATCGCTCGCACCGTTTTCGACGGATAATATCAATCCTCCAATGAAGTAATAAAAATAATAAAATACTACGGGGCATTGTGTGTAAGAGATAATTTTTTATAACATTTGTACTATTACTTATTAAATGGCGACAAAACAATTAATGCAATCACTTTCACGATATCATTAAGTGGAAAGAGTTTGTTTTATGATTCCCCCACAAGCGAAGCACATTTCTGGCCGAGACAAGTTCTAAACTATCTTCAGGTAACGCGACATATGTGATAGAGTAGTGCACGTGTGTAAGTAACGAATGAGGATAGCACAAGGAAGAGGAGAGGAAAGATCTCGCGCGATCTGTGGCCCGTTTATTGGGGTACTGGTCCAGTATTCTCCTGGTGTTGATTGAACAAAACACGAAAAACTATCGATCAGAGTGGCCCGCCAATAGAATTCTCTTCCATATAGCAGCCGAGTACGACATAACTATCGAAATCGAAAAGACGGAGTAGTCCTTCCACCGTCAGAATTTGAACTATAGGATGTCCCGTCAGAGGTACTGAAGTGACATCAGTTGATCTCCTGGATCACCTCGAGTTAGGGAAATCTTCCACCAAGGTACCATGAATAGGAAATCACGAATAGATGAAACGTATCACGTATCACGAATATCACACCTTTCGCCTTGGGAAGTGCAAGATCCGTTTCCCTGTAACAAGCTCGTTAATCGATCTCTTAAGTTATTGGTCTCATAATTACGTACATACAATACGGTTGAAATTTATCAAGAAAATTGCATATTAATATATTTTATATTTTAAGATTAAAAAATTAGTTGCGTTTTTACATAACAAGAAAAAAAAATTAGCTTTAATTATTAGAAGATGTAACGTCATTTTACAGTGTCATTCAACCAGATGAAAACTTTAAACCACCTGCAAATTTCATATTTTTATGCCTCCCGGAGGTACATTTTCAACTTAAACTACTTGGGAACATAAAAGAACGACTACCCATTTCCAAACTTTCCTTTCAAGGAGGGAGTGCTTGGAGTTGAAAAATTACGGTTGTGGTTCTTCTAGACCTAGAATGACTTTCAACATTCTCTTCTTTTTTTTTTCTTCTTGTCTTATTCTTCTGTCTCTGCACATTGTGGTCAACATGTGGCCATACCTTGTACAGTTATGGTTCAGGTTTAAGTTAGATACCATTACGCTACGTTAAGGCTGAATGTCCCGATACTAGTACAATTTGTAGCCCCCACGTGGAAGCAAAAAAATAAGTAAAATTTACTTTACCGATAACGTCTGACCCAATGGTCCGATTTTCGATCTGTAAACGGCATTTGACGTCTTTTTAAAATAGAATTTACTCTACGAGGCCCTTTTTCCAAAAATCTAGCAAAATTGCGAATTTGAAATTAGTTCTCAAATATCTGAGAAAAAATTAAAAAATGTGGGCTTATAGCGCGATGCGAATTTATTGCGCTTCGTGAACGTAAAATGATTTGTGTTGCCAGGCAGTTGGATGCTACATCTGTTATAATTTGTATATTATTGCATATTGCTTTGTTCGTTTCGTACTTTCGAACTTTTGTTTATACGTTTTAAAATCAATCGTTTAGAAATTATTTAAAACCTATTTTAAATTGCGTCCTTTGAGTTAAATGTGAAAACGACTAGATCATTCGCTTTGGTTAATAATGTGGGACTGAAAAGTATTGCTAATGCATGTAGTACCCAATTAATGCTGATGAATATAAAAATAGATTTAATTATTATATTTTTCCATTCATTTTCATTTTTTGCTCGCGGTATCAACAATGCAAATTGGCCAAACGTGTATTCCACACGAATTAGCGGCCATTGTTGTTTTTTGCAACCCATTGTTGTAACACCGCACTGATAACAGAAAACAATAATGCCGACTGCCATTCGTTCCCATTAATATAAGCGAATAATTTTATTTTCAGCTAAAATGCGCATCGTTGGTACATTTATGTAGAACGTGAATACACCGAATGCAGTGGCAGAAAGCGCTTTTTCTTTAAATGTTTGAATTTTAAAAAATATTTGAATTTTTCGCGCTTCCCAAATTGTTAGATTTATTAGATATCGCGAGAAAGCATGTTCCGTTGTAGCACCACTAGATCAGAACCAAACCTGGACTACCACCAAACCAGCACCACCAAACATGGCCCCGCCGAATGCGCCACGCAAAGCTAGTCATTGTTGTGGGTGGAAATTGGTGGTGCTAGGTCGCGCCAGCAGGCTGCGTGGTGGTGTCACGGGGCGCGCAGCCGTGCGCAGATGCGATAGCGCAAAGGCTCTGAAGCGCGCAGAACGCGAGACCCAGAGCGTAGTTCGTGTGCACAGGAGACTGCGCCTGTCAGAGCAATGCACTCAGGAAGTTAAGTAGGATGCACATACATTTCCATATGAGAACACGCCGCTTTAACAGGATTTTCGATGTATTTTAACAGAATTTATCCACTGTTTGTGATTCATCGAATCAAATTTTAGATACCGCCGCGTACCCAAAGTTCTCCAACTAGTTTTTTCTCTACCACAAGAATTCAGTACATTTTCCCCAAGGGATTATCCAGATGTAGGCCAAATGGATGCAATCCATCTGGATAAACTCTTAAGTAAGAAATAAATAAATAAATATTTTCAGTCGGATTTAAGTTTTAATCGAACACGTTGAAACATGTTTTGATGGTATTGGTCCATAAACAGGACTTCAGGCAAATGGCGGAATAAACCATTGGAAATGTGATTAAACCTGCTTTTAGTCTATTGGTCTTAATTAGTGAGTATAATTCCAGTGAGATTTTCTTCAAAGAATGAGGTACGCATATTTGCTCTGTAAATTATGTCCAAGTCAGACACATGGTGATGGGTTACGTTTTTCCAAGAATGCTGTAGTCTGTTATTACCAGCTTTCATTAGACAGCTTGCATTTTGAGGGAACCGTAATTTTCCCTAATTAAAGAGACACTCACTGATCTTAGTTACAAAGGAATCATATACATTTTACTCAAAATTCAGTAAAGCCTGATTGCCAACTAAATTAGCGAAGAGACAATACAACGAATGACATATTATTTTTCGTAATATATAATATATAATGATTGAAGAATGTCGATTTTATTATGTAACACTGTTTATTAAATTGGTTATCGTACGTACATTATAATATTTTGTATTTAAATAAGAGAAAGCGTTAGCAAAAGAATTATCTTTCCTTTCTAAGCAACGTTTGCACTGTAATTTTAAAGGGTTCGTAGTACTATTTTACAAAAGAAATCGTACTAAATTTCAAGAAATAAAATCTAATTATTAAACTAATCAAATAAGAGCTGGAAAACATAAACCAAAATGAAACTCTTGCCGTTATCTTCCCCATGCGTTCTAAGCATTCAATCTTTGGAAGTAGCATGAAGTTTCACGCCCTGCAAATTAGTTGGATGTAAATCACACATAAGATATTATATTATAATGTATGTATTAATACTATTAAATCAAAGAACGAAATAAAACAATAATAATAATAATAATAATAATAATAATAATAATAACATAATTTTCTCTTCTATGCAGGGTGATACAAGTGATAACACCCTTGTATCTCCTCAACCGTGCAATATACGAAGAAGCCGTTTGGAAAGTCGATTGTATAAACAGAGGCTACTTGAGTACAGCTGCAAGTACCATTTTTTACTACGAAAATATAAGGTCAACTTTGTTGTTTTTAAATGGAATCATACGCTAAATTTTAACGTTTTGCAATGGACTTAAAAAGACGATTTGAAATATGAGTATAACTTTGTATTTAAGCGAATCATTTTTTAGAAATTAATGTGTTTTTGTAACATAGTTTTCTACTCAAGTGGCACTTTTGATTTCTTTTGTGATTGTGGGGAGCACACCATAAACGCTTTTATTTTTCACAAGCTGCAAGTCAAGCTACCAAAGTAAAGTCTATTGCTAACACTCCTGCCGTTTCACTGCGGGAGACTTTCCTATCGCACTGTGTATCAGAGAGCGAGGCACGGGATAAAACTACCCCAAGTCGTGTTCAGATGCTTAGTCTGGCCACGCATTCGCCCACCCCTGCTTCAAACCCACACAAGCGCGCGTGGGGAAAGCTGGACCTCCCACGCTGCGCGGCCGCCTCATTAAAGAGCGCGCGACGCCGGGCGACGCAGAGCGCGACGCCGCCGTTCCGGCCCTGCCTCACGGCGCTTCCGCCAGCGCCGGCACCAGCCTCCGGAAGGCTCAGCTCCCGGCGCCGGACTCTTCCCCGCCCTCCGTCGCAGCCACGCCCCCTCCCGAGACACCACCGGCGCGGCGCTGGGAGAATGTAATTGGGGACAAGATTATCGCGGCTGCTATTACGAGGGTAATTTAGGATTCTTGTGAAATGAATGAATGAGGAATGGCAGGCAGGCCTACTGGATCAATAAGCTACAATAAACTATTCAATTAATAAACGAATGAATAGGAAAGTCAGAAAGGGATTATTATATAGATGCCTGAAGGGTGAATGAATGAGTGGATGAATTTATTGTTGAGTTGGTATTATTATTATTATTATTATTACTATTATTATTACTATTATTATCCAAGTAAAATTCCATTAAGGGCAAGGGTCTCGTTTTTTGCAAAGAATGATGATAGGTGTTAGGTGGGGTGGTGGGAGGTGATCTTGGCATTTTTGAACCATCCCAGCATTGGCCTTATGACCGAGGGAAGCCATGAACAACCGTGGTCAGGGTAACCGATCCGGTGATCGAAGCCGGACCTCCCGACGGCGACGTCAGCGCTTTTCGCACGGAGACACTTCTCTCGGTTGGCGGAATTGCGGGAGTGAATAAATGTGCTGTATTTTGTACAACAGCGTTTGTCCGTGGTTTCGTGACGACGTTCATGGTTTCCCTCAAGGCGTTTCCGGAGGCGCCAGACGGCGGGCGAGTG